TTTCATAACAAATAGCAGATCAATTCTCTAGCCATTATAATCCTGATTACCACTCCCTAAGAGCAACCTTTTCCATGACAGTTATTTCTGCTCTCCATTTATTTCTCATCCAATTTTTTTTCTGGTATGTAAACCTCTTTTCCTATATATCATGTATACACTACCTCTTGATTCTTAAGAAAAATCCATTGAAGAGGCTTTAGTTCTCTGACAATACACACACTCTCACACACAAACACACACACACACTTTTCCCCATCCTTCCAATGTAAGTATAACATCATTTCACATTTAGTGTTTATCATTTAATTACGATCAGCAGAGCCAAATAGTGTACTATGATTATATTTCCTTTCTTGTACAATATTTTGCTTTCCCTGGAATTAAGAATTGCCTCCTTTTGTCTTTGTTTTTTTCCTCCCCTCTCAGTTTTTAATGTTCTTATGTCATTACCAAAATCACTGAAAAAGGAACTGTAAATGTCCCAAGAGATTCAAACTCTCAGGTGTAAATTTCTTCTTGGACATGCTTCCTGGAGCCTTCCATCTTCCTACTTTTAGACTGACTCATCTTTAGTTCAGCTGCATAGGGGTCATGATGGGACTCCTCTTTACCACTCTTCTCAGAACTCCTTTACCTCCAACCTGTGCTTGGATCCCCCTTTTCCTGGGTGGCCTCTGTATCTGTCATAACAGCCCAAGTTATGCTGGAGTAACAAATGACCCCCAAATCTCAATGGCTTACAATGACAAAGGTTTACTTCTCATACACATTACAAGTCCATCATGGGTCACCTCTGTGCCTTCATCCCAGGACCAGGCTGACAGAGCAGCCTCTGCCTGAACACTGCGAGTCATCATGGCAGAAGGGAAAGGGACGTGGTCGAACATGCATCTGCTCAGAAGTCACACGTACCACTTCTGCCCATATCTCACTGGCCAGATCAATCCACACAATCACAGGTGAGCCCAAAGGGCAACTACACAATATCCCCCCGGAAGGGTCAGTGGGGGAAGAACCAAATAGCACTGTCAAGTCCGACATCAACAGGGCAGAGAGTCTTCTGCAGGGCAGTAAGGTTAACAATTGTGAACAACGAAGCTGTCGTGGCATGTCTTCCTCTCTCTCGTTTATGCCATTTTTTTCCATGAAATCCACCCTGCACCCTTGTGGGTTTGTACTTTTTTTACTCCATTACTGTCATTTCAACAGTTTCAGGAGTGTGTTCCATCTGCCATGTTGAGCCAAAAGTCTACCAACCAATCCCTTTAAAAGGGAACTTCTAGGTCATGGTCTATTTGAAAGATGAGGACTGTCTGTAATTATAAATTTAATTCAGTGTACCATTTATCATTATTTATAGCAGTTTTTCTCAGATCCTACAAATGTCAATAAAGAATTTAAATTGTATTTCTTTATGAATATAAAACTACCCAATATGGTAAATTCACTTTAAAACTGAGGAGTTTTCTAAAACAGCTTTGATCTCGGTGTCTTGATTTTTGCCTTTTCTGATTTGCTCTAAGCTCCAAGCTTATGTCTGCAAAGAAATCAAGCAGCCCCAAAGAATTTCATTCTAATTCTGTAATCACAAACAATAATATATTCAACATGTTGGCCTAGCTCTGAAATCTACCTGTCACTGCTGTCTGTAACTTATCTTAAATATTATGATCTACTCGGGAAGATACAGTTCTAAACTGTATCTCCCTATATCAAAATCTTATTTAGTTCTGAAATGGCAAATACAGCGAACAGCTGCTAGAGGGTAATAATACGCAAGAAACAGTCAAATTCAGCTTTTTGTTACATTAGTTTTTATTTGATATTCTCCTTTCTAATAACGGAGATACAGTAGATTCTCAACTTAAAAAAAAAAAAAGCAACTCGCCTTTTAACTCTGGAGTGCACACTACAAGACTAAGCATTTCTTAAAAAGTAAGCCTTGCTCAGACCCATCACTCATGTGTTGGCACTTCCACAGCTTGGGCCTGGACTTCTGGAGACAGGCTTTCTCAGTTCAAGTGCTCTTTCCATCTCAAAACAGTCACAGACCTTGGTAAATTATGTAATCCCTTTAACCTCAGTTTCCTCATTTACAAAATAGGAATAATAGGATTTCTAAGGAAAAGTGATGAGAATTAAATAACCCATACAGAGCCTTGACACGGTGCCTGGGAGACAGCACTCAGTAAATGTTTGCTGGGTAAATATTTTCTAATTCAACAGGCACCTTATTTACCTATAAAGCTTACAGAGGTCAAATTCTATGACAACCAGGTTTAAACACTATAAATCCTTTACTGTAATAAAACCATGCATTGTGTGTTTGGCCGAAATTCAGTTACTTATTATACATCTTTTTTTTTTTTTTAATTAAATGAAGAAAGTTTGAGTTTTCACTTCTTTATTTTGCTCTTCTAAATCCATACAATTTTAGAAAGGGATAGTTATCTCCTCATGTACCAGTTTTTTTAACCTAGTGAATTTTAAAAACTCACCACAAACCTGTATCAGCTCTGCCTCTTGACATGTCCCAACCTGGCCTATGACATATATTGGCCAAAGTGAAATGTCAGGACTAAAACAGGGAGATCCTTGACTCGACAGATCTCGAGAGGTACAGAGTCTTAAAGACCAGTCCTAAGTGAAGCTGGGTTCATTGTTCAAAGGATGATGAATGAATCTATACATCATCAGAGAATATGCAAACCAGATGCAATTATTCCACAGAGTATCAGAATTATTTAAAAACACTTGAGAGGATCTGACACGCTGAAAGCACCTGGAGCAAAACCTTCTGGGAACCTGTGATGTCAGAGACTCAAGAGGCTTTTATAAATAAACGAAATCCAAATGACTATGGCTGCAAAGTCAAGATGTGCCAAAGATTAAGGAGAAAAGAAGCAAAATAAACTCAGGAAGGTAAACAGATCCATTCCCTTCCACTCTTTGTTGTTCAATTGATTTCATTTGTCTTATGGAAGCTCATTAGAAACATTTTAATACACAGCCCAAAGGCTGCCTTCAATGTGCACTCATGTTGAACAGTGGAGAGAGCAGTACAGGCTGGTGTAGAAAAAGCAACGGACCTGAAATCAGAATGTGTGGGTCTGTCAGGGCTGCCACCTCCCTGAGACTCAGTTTTCTCATCTGCAAAACAGCAGGGAGAGTGTCTGTCCCTCAAAGCTGTGATGAGGAAGTGTGGGAAGATGAATGAAAACGCCTGGAACAGTGCCGTCTAGTAGAAACATACGGTGAACCACAAATGTGAGCCACAAATGGAATTTTTAAATAAAAAAATAAAAAGAAGCAGGTGAAATTAATTTTAATAATACTTTTTATTTAACTCAATATATTCAAAATATTACCATTTCAACAGGTAAATCAATAAAAGACTACTGAGATTTTTTCACATTCCTTTTTTTTGTACCGAGTCTGTGAAAATCAGTGTGTCTTTTACATTCATAGCTCAGATTGTAAAATTCAGACCAGCCACCCTAGCCCATGGGGCGGTACTGGACAGCACAGCCTGGAACCCAGGTGGGGCTGAGCACGTTTACTAGATCCTAGCAGCTAAACCCTGTGGGACTGAGGAAGGTTATTTTTAAAATCGACCACATTAAAGAGAGTTTGTGTTTTCATATCTTTGGTACAGTACATAATATATAATATGTAATATTGTAATAAGAATTTAAAATATTATCTATACCAACTAGGCTAAGTATTTATCCAAAATAAGGGCAACCAAAAATTATTATAAGCCACTAATATTCATTCATTTTATATTTAATTTTGTGGCTATTTTGTTTATTAGGATTTGAGTTACATATTAATCTGACATAGAATCTAATAATCTCAAAAAAAGAAAACATAACCTGACATAACAAGCACACAAAAAAACTCAAACTACAAGCTACAAATGATTAAACTACACCTTCCAGCAAAGAAATAGGAATAGTAAACAAAATATTTCTCTGTATTACTAAATTTTTCATTTCATAGGGCCTGCCATTAGAAGGTCAAGTTATATAGTTTTAATAGCTTTCTTATAATTTTTTTCTCATAAAAATTTAACTGTATTTTCTAAATAGGATGACCACCTATCACGACAACTTAGTTACATGTGAATATAAGTAAATATAGCATTAAAATGATGCTATATTTACTTCAGAACAATTCAATGGGGTTGACACATTATATATTACTTGTATTACATTGTTAAGATAGTAATGAGTAGTACACAGAAGGCGAATTCTTGTATCTTGAGCTCAAAGAATGGGGTGAAAAATGCGTGGTAACCATTTCTTAACTGCAAGGCCTTTCTGAAAGCCAGCACGGAGCACGTGCACACATGTTTAAGCAGCTATAGTGTGCTCTTGTGTTCTGTGTGGAGATGCTCCTGCAGTCCCTAACGCTCTCGTCCACTTTTCTGTGGGCCGCCCACTAGTCCAGCACGAGTGGTCAGATGAGATGCAAGAATGAAATGGGGACAGGATTCTGGGCAGGCGACTGCTACCTCATTTCAAACCTGACAAGGACCATTTAGTTACCTAATAGAACTTAAATTTTACCAAGTGTTATGAAATTCTTAAGGACCAAAACTCTTTGGACTTTGGTTTTCATTTACTATGTATTCAAAAGATGGTACTTCTGGAAGACAGGCCCTCTCCCTCAAGCATCTCATCGGATGCTCAGCCGAAGTGACACACAAGCTGAATGGCTAGTCTAGGTCCTGCAGCACCACTGAGGTGCCTCCTGCGGTCTCCTGGCCAAGGACTCGCCTCCCCCAAGCCCCGCTCAGGCTCACAGCACAAAGTGGTCCAGCTGCAGAGGACGAGGTTTAAATGCTCACGTCATCACATTCCGTGTAAACTCTCCCGAGGAAGAATCTATCCGCACCGAGGCACGTGTTTCCCAGGCCACCCGTGCTGACCCCTAGAGTCACTGACACTAAACACAACAGTCACACACAGTCTCAAACACGCGTTCAGACTCACATCTGGCATTTCTGTAGAGAAGGAAGGGGTCCTGGAGCTGGAAATCCAGGTCTTTCGTGATGGGCTCTGTCCTATTCTCCATGCTCAGCCTGTTCATGATGGTGAAGCCGTGTTTCGGAGAAGCAGACCTAAAGGTTGCCAGGGGCAGGGGGACACAGAGACACACCGTTCAGAGCAGAGCACTTCCAGGACAGGGGCATCTGGACACGCCTTCAACCTTTCCGCTCCTTCACCGTGGGCTGCACCAATGTGCGGGACGCATACGGCACGCCGGCCATGCTGGTGCTTTGGTAAAGTCCAGCCCTACTTACTTAACTGTGTGCGTATGTACATATACACAGCTTGTTTCCCTACCTACGCTGTAAGTTCCTTTGAGGCAGAGATGGTAGCTACTGATAAAAAAATTACCGACAGACACCTTTAAACAATCTTGATCGTTAATACAGAGCGTACATCACAATTATAGAAAATGTTAGTGTTGGTCTGAAATTGAAAGCTGTGTAATTTCTTAGAGAAATGATGTAACCGTGGTCAATGAACTTAGGAGGAGATATAGTATAATTAAAAGTTCATACAGTTCAAAGCAAAGAGCAGATATTTAGTATTCTTCAGTGTAAGGCAAACAGCTTCATAGCTAAGCTACTACAAAAGTTTTTATCCATAAAACTGTGCATTTAGTAACTTTTTATTTTTAATTTCATTCAATAAACCTTCAGTGCCTAGTCTCCGTCAGGCAGGAAGAACCCAAATCATAGAGAAACTAACAACTACAAGTGCATCTGTCTACCCTTGGGGGACAGGCCAGATACCAACCCAACTGTGCAACTTGTGCTGACAAGTTGCAATACACATGCTCACACACTGAAACGGAAACAGGCAGGGCCACCGATTTAATCTGGGGCACAAGGTAACAAGCCCACAGAAATGCTGTGAGCAGCAGGAAGAAAAGGGGTTTACAGCTCAGCTTATTTCACCTCTAACCACTTGATTTACTACCTACAGTTTTCGTTTGAGACTTCTAATTTTAAAACTGATGGAAGGCAATCCTTGCCTACTTATTTTACTAAGTGGTAAAGTGGTGCTGGGCATATAATGAATACCAGAAATAATCATGACGATCATTTCAACTTAAATTCTGGGGAAGAATGAACAGTGACTTCCAAAGATCCCTGCCAGAGGGGACTCTGGAAATCACCAGCGGGCGTAACTCTATTACAGAAAGACACAGGAGGAAACAAAGACATAATTTAAAAAATGGGGTTAGGTGTTTTTATACAGAATCAGAATTTGATTCTTCCAGTGTTTCATTATCACAACAGGCTTTCACCCCTCTAATGGTACGGTTACTACACCATCTCACAATTTATAAAACAGACTCAGGGGATACCAACTGCTCTAAAGCAACATCTGTTAAGTCGAAATACATCACTGGCAGTTCCATTACCTGTACCCAAAACTCCCTTGTGATTTCCATGAGCTGTCTGTCATCCTCCACCGAGGAAAGACCTCAACATTCTAGAATCTGGGATCGGAGGGTGGGGTTGTGGGGGGAGAGAGGGTCCTGCTCGTAAGGAGTTAGATGTGGGGAAGAGATTAAGGACTAGGGAAGGATCTGCTTCTCAGTTTAAAGGTTTGTTTAACTGGCGGCTCCATGAGGAACTCAAGGGTATATTAAGAAGTACTTGAAAAGACCAGCCCACGTTTGGCTTTGGTACAAAACAAAACACTTGCATAACCTGTTACTCCTCTGCATCAACAAAAGACCCTACTAAAAATGCTCTCCCTTCCACTCCCACTGTTGCCTCCTGCCCACCCTCCACGCTGAACCTGCCCTGGGCCGCAGGGGCCTCTGTGTGCTGCTCTAGTTCTGCCTGTCTCCGTGGTGACTCTTCTCTGCATCCTGCTGACCCCGAAACCCAGCCATTAGCCCCTCAGCTTCTCTACTGATTCCAACGAGCAAATTAACGATGCCGACGCCTCCACACTCTGTGCCTCCGTCCCTGCCCCGTCCCGAGTGCCTGGTGCCACCACTGGAACGCCCTGCCATCACCCCAAAACCACTATTTCAAAATAAAACTAAAACTATCCTCAAGCCAGGTTCTTAACCTCCCATCTTTCCATTCCGCCAATGAGTCTGTCATCCTCTCTGTTTTCCATTTCAAAATCTCACCAGTACTTTAAAATGTCACCGCCCCCCGCATGCAGTCTCCCAATAAGCCCTCCCCACTTCACCTCACACCCGCTCCGCCACCGCCGTCTTCTCCGTGCCTGCATAATGCTAGCACACCGACTTTCCCGCATGTTCTGTCATCACTCCTTTACTCCCCCACTCGCAAACCTTCAGCGGCTCCCTACTGCTCAGAAAACAGATTTCAGCACCTTCAGTCTGATATTCCAAGCCAGCAAAATGTTTTTACTCTCACTGTCAGCTTCTAACTCATGCCAACCGATACACACTCTCCGCCCCAGATCACTGCCCTCACTGTGCTGTGCCACGGGGCCCCTGCCTCCGCCTCCGCGAGGCTCAGCTCCCCCCCTGCACTCGGCAGCTCTGTAGAGCCTCCCAGGGCCACACGCCCGCCCACTCACTGCTTATCATGGGCCAACTGGCACGGGGGTAGTCCATCCACACTGTGCTTTACCTTCAAAGGTGAAAGTGTGTGTAGAACAGATGAGCGAGTGTGGGGTGGAAAGGGTTTGCCCCAGGCCTCTGTATTATATCTCTGTAACCCACCGATGGTGATGGGCCTCAGCTATGAGATCTTACGTGGATGTTTCTGTGAATAAACAGCTTAGCTGTGAAGACAATGTACATACTACACATCTCTGTGTGCGTGTGTGATATTACTTAGCAACAGCTGATAAAAGTTACCGAAAAACAGGAATTTATTAAATCTACCCTGAAACATATCCCACTAGCTGTACAGTGCAGGGCTGAGAGGCCTCTTTAATTTCGGGTCGCGCCTCTTCAAGGAGTCAAGAGGTGGCGCCACCAATAACGCTCCCCTCCAAATGCTGGTTAAATGACCTATAACACTCTGACCAGTGTACTTCTAGCTCCTTGCCAAGCCATTACACTCAAGCACTCTGTACCATTCATTTGAATTAAAGAACACAAAGATTTAAGTTCCTCTATACTGAAGTTTACATTATATTCTGAAATTAGTATTCATGACACCACACAGATGCCATTATTCAGTGTTCCCTTCCTTATGTCCACTAATGACTTCAAACTAATAGCTTCAAACTAAGTTCTTTCACTTCTCTGAAATAAAACTACACTTGAAGGGTGACACAACAGAGCTAAGACACGAGTGGAAGACCATCAGTTTCTTTATGAAAGTGAAATACTCTTACCTTGTGTAAACAAATAAGGTCCCTTCCACATCAGTCTTTTCCTAAAAAATAAAAACAAAACAAACAGCAAAACATGTATATTCTGTTCACTAACAGGAAACACTCACAGAGGTCGGAGAACATGAGCACCTAAGAGAACAGGAATTCGATCAGTTCCAAGAGGGGTCAAACCTATGTAACAGAGGGGTAACTCTTAGGGAAAGGAAAAAGCAGATTTTTTGCCCATTGTGACTCTGCTGCTTAAGCAGCGGGAAGCATCCTCCTACTGTCACTTACAAACTAAACCAGAGTGCTGTCTTCCCCTCTGACCTGGGGACGCGGCCAGACGCAGAACCCACCGCTGTCTGTACTTCCTTCTCCTCTGTTTTCTGGTTTCCTTTTCTCTTGTCGTATCCTGTCACCTAGGAGAGCAGCGGACCTGCCGATAACTCTACTCTGACTACTACACAGAAGACAGCAATGCTGCTGTAGTTTTCAGACAAACTAATCGCCTATTTGATGTGGAATATTTAGAGTCAAGTCTGATCTTTGAAATACAATTAGACAGAAACATTACCAAGCTAGGACTCAAGAACTCTGCCTGAGAGGGACTGAGAAAGTTGTAAACTTAAAATGATAAACTATCATCTCAGTTCACTGGGAAAGGCTCTTTTCCATCTCCCCAGGCCCTGATGAAAATGTTCAGCTTACTAAAAAAAAAATTTAAGTACCCATTTGTCTGATTAACTAGTAATCAGAGTATTATAACTCAGAATTTAGAATTTATCTCTGCTATTTATGTGGTTTAATTTCAGCATTCTATTTAACCTCTCAATATTTTGTTATTTATATATCCATTAGCAAAGTCATTCAAAATTTAAGTACTCTGTAATTTTGGTGAAAAATACTCTCTTTAAGAAACAAAGGTATATTAAAATGATGATTCTGAAAAGGCACACAAAAAATTGCAAGCATGATCCTTTCCATGCTTGAGTAATTTCATCATCCTTAAACTGGATTTACTATTAAGTGACCACTTGCTACGAGGACAAAACACTTTTCTGTCTTCCAGTATTTGACCCTGGACTGTTTCATCTCAGAGATCCTAGTCAGGATGTTTCTGCGGATCAGCACACAGAAACCTAACAGCCTTCGACCTGTTTCCTTCCTTAAGGAAATAGTAATAGAAATTACCTGTTCCTTAAGGAACATCCAGAATCAGAAATGTAAAAGGCATGCTTCTCCTGAAATCATTCTCTAACTCCAAATTTGCAATACTTAATTAGTTTATTGTTCTGTGTCTGTTTCTCCACTGAAAAGGGATAACAAACCTACACCACGCAGATCTTTGGATTAAAAACATATTTTTCATCTAAGGCTCTATGACACCTAGATAAAAAGGTCTTTGGAAATGTAGATTCTGGTCTATTCTGGCTGAAACAGCTCAAATTCACGTATTTTCTCCATCCCTCCACAGTTATACAGGGGTAACCAGATTTTTTTTTTTTTTCTTTCTGGGCAAAGCCCAGGTTTGGGGTTTTGGGCAACAGTTAAAGCAAGATTCTATTAGCTCTTCCTCAGGTCCTGCAAGTAAAGAAGACTTTTCTTTTTTTTTTTTTTAATATTTATTTATTTATGTGGCTGCTCCAGGTCTTAGATGCAGCATGTGGGATCTTTCGGTTGTGGCATGGGAACTCTTCATTGCGTCACGTGGGATCTAGTTCCCTAACCAGGATTGAACCCGGGGCCCCTGCATTGGGAGTGCAGAGTCTTAGCACTTAGACCACCAGGGAAGTCCCTAAAGGAGACTTTTATGTTAAAGTATTAGTTCACAGCTCTGGGGGACTTTAGCTTAAATTTTAAAAGTACAATTTAATGATTTAACATTACACTCTTATAAAAACTAACAAGTGCTAAAAAATTAAGCAGTTCAAAATTTAAAATCATGAAGTAGAATGTAAAATAATGCTAGTCTGCAAACTGCTGGGACTTGGCAGACTACCTGACGCTTTCAAAACAACGCAATCTACATCTGACTATTCTGTTAAAATAATGAAAAAGTAAATCTTCATTTACCCTCTAAATCTGCCTTTCTCAATCATATATGTAGCATCTGAGTCACCTAAGAAGCTTTCGACAAATATCAAACGCTTGGGCCTCATATCCTGAGATTTTTGATTTGGTGGGATGCACTTTTTAAAACTCCAAATGATCTTGACACACAGAACTTAGAAAATCACTAGCTAGAAACAAGGGGTACACTACCACTATCGGGCAGCTTCTCAAGCTCAGCACTTTTGACATTTGGGGCCAGGTTAACCTTGTCGTGGGGGCCTGTCCCACACACCGCAGGACATTTAGCGGAATCCCTGGCATCTCCCCTCTGGATGCCAGTAACGTGGTCCCTCCTCCAAGCGACAACTAAAAATTTTCTCAAGACTCTGCCAGTGTTGCCTGGAAGCAAAATCGACTCCAGTTAAGAACTACTGCTCTAAGGGTTGAGAGGTGAAAATACCACCAGGATTAAAACACACTGGTGTTTTGGGGGAGTGGGATTTCCTGGCAATGGGAAGTAGGTCTAGTTCCAAAATTCCTACTCCAGTCCTGACATAATCGTTCTTAAGCTTCCTTAAAGCAGCTCATTTTCTGTCCCCGCTTCATTCCTTATTCCTCCTGCCAAATGCCTTAAGTTAGCCTTCATCCATATTCAGTGTAATAAGAATTCCCCTTCTTTACGTCCCACCTGCATATACTTTCTCTTCTGTTCTTAGGCATGTCCTGTACACTTTTATTAGGCTTATGTTCAAAAGCTCCCGTTGTGGTAGCATATGGAGACGCGGCATCAATTTGTTTGCCCCCAGCAACTGCCCTGCAGCTAAACTAGGTCTCTGTCTTTTTTTTTCTCGGCTACCACAGCCTTGAAGATGAGTACTTTGAAAGAATGACCTTCTAAGGGATGAACTATGCGTTGTCTGAAAGCAACAAGTCCAGGAAGCAGAAAAACATAACTCGTGTAAATAATGCATTTGTGCCACTTGTGACTTCTGAGAACGCTGTACTAGTGCAGCCTCTGTAACTATGGTAACACGTGTCTCAGAGACCCTGTCCAACGCCCGTAGGAAACAACCGCTACTCAAGGGGAACCTCTCCTGTACCCGTTAACTTGTGAGAATTCCCCAGACTCTCGGTCGGGTGTCAAGTCAGTCCAGACAACTACACACCCCGATCCTCATCTCTACTACCGAATTTCCTCAGCGGAATTAGGACATCATGCCTTTGGCGCTTTTCTACAGAGCAGTATACAGCCGCAGGTAGAATATCTGCATTTAAAAAGTTGCCGCTGAAACTTGTCCACCTCGTCGCTCAACGTCCTTGATACGAAGACCCAGGCGACACATGCCCCCGAAAACTAGAGAGACATATACCTAGGAAGCGGCGCCCTTCCTCCCCCGGGACCTCGCGGGGCAGGTGTCCCCACGTCCCTCCATTCCTGCCTCTTTTCGGTGAATTTCCTCGGTTACGAACTTAGGGCAAAGCTGTTCTCTTGTCTCCCATGTCAGGACCTACTTCTTAGTGTCTTCGCTTCTGTGAGTGGTTTTCGGGTAAACTTTAATGACCTGCTGCGGAAGGTGGGGAGGCCACGTGAACTACTGTGGCTGTGTCCCGTCGGAGGGCTCTCCTAGCTGACCGCCGGGACGTGCCGGAGCACGGTGTCTGACCCGCTCCGCGGGGCTGAGTCCTGCCCGCGCTCCGTGACTCAGTTCAACGCGGCGGGAGGTGCCCGCGGACGCCGGACCCGAGTGACCGCGGGGGGGACCTTCCCGCCCGCTCGCAGCCCCTCCCCGGCCCCGCCTGCCCGCACGCACCCACTCGTTGGCCCGGTGGCCGAAGGTGTCCAGGGCCACCTGGCTGGCCACGTCCACGATGCGGCTGATGTAGGGGTCGTGGCGCCGCAAGGCCGCCAGGCTAATGTCGCGCCCCTTCCCAGCTGGGAGGCCCGCCGCCGCCGCCGCCATCTTCCCGCCGGCCCGCGGGGCGCCGCAGCCCTCTCGGCAGAGCGCAGAGCGCGCAGGCGTCACTGGTCGATGGCCGCACCGCGCCCGCCCGCGATCGTTGCCACGGCAACCGCAAGGCGGCCCCCGCGCGGTCCTGCGAGCGTCCCGGGTACCGGACCATCGCTGGACGCCGGGAACGTCTGCTCCTCGGCGCTCCGCGGTCAGACCTGTAGTGATAAACACGCCTCGAGCTTGCGTAACTTGAACAGGGAGGGAACTGCGATTTCTTGTGCGCGGACGCCGGGTGGTTCTTCATTAATTTTATTACATTTCAACCTTTTGGTACACTTTTAAAAATTCTGTGTGAAAAAAAGAGGAAGAAATCACAGAGCACGTGCCCTGAACACGGAGCTGCCATATTTGCCTCCAGGAAAACACTTGAGTGCTTAAGTCGCAAGCTGAGCTAGTGTTTTTATTTTTATTTTCACGGAACACTATTTTTACTTGAAAGAAAGATGGACAAACTATGGGTATTCAGACAGGCATCTGACAGACATTTTTTAGAAAATAAATAACGTGCACCTGTCACTTCCAGGAAAACAAGGGGTAATTATTGTCACCAATGATAATTTTTGAGCTTTCAAGCAAGAATGAGAAGTTTACAAAATGTGTATCCACTGTCATGAGCTTGGCAGCTTCTCAATACTTAAAGTCTTTAATGATGAGATTGCTGGGTATTTGGAAAGCCTGTGATGAGAGAATTCCTCTTTAAAACTTGGGAGAAAGGTGAACGTTGACCACTCTGGTACATGCATAACTGGATGTACATTTTTGTTAAAATATTTCAATAAAGCTTTAAAGTTTCTTTTATATCTTTGAGCCTTGGAGTCTATAGGCAAAGTCTACCTTTTGATAATTTCAGGGAGCATAGACACACCCTAGTTGTCTCTCTAGTACTTGGTCCAATGCCTTGTGCTGAACAGAAATTTGTAAATGCCGATTCTATTGAACTCAACCATGAGTTAGTCGAATTTACTCATTAAATATCAGCTTTTAAAAAGATCTCATGACTTACAGAATACTGAGATCCAAGTTGGCATGAAAGAGCATACAATAACAAGTCCTGATCTTTCAGAGTTTACATTCTAAAAAAGATAGATAGAAAAAAATGGAAAGGTTTGTTTAATTTTCCATGTTACAAAGAAAACAAGAAAGAAAAGGAAAAGACCTTGAAGATGAGAGATTACACTCAGAAAAAGATGATGTATAATGCTACAATGGCTTCAGCATTGCAATGTTGTTTATCTCCCGGCCCCAGAGCTTTGTTCTCTTAAAATTCCTTTTTCCCCCCAAATTCTTAAAGATCTAACCTTCTAGGATGAAGACAGAGCTCTGCCTAATTTCTACTTGAATAATCTGTGTTTGTAAAATCAGGTCATCATCACTTATCCAAATGTATTAAGTTACAGGCTCTTTATTAGTAAAAGGCCATTTTTTAAAAATTGGGGTATAGTTGTTTTACAATGTTGTGTTAGTTCCTACCGTACAGTGAAGCGGAGTTCCCTGTGCCATACAGCAAGTTCTCATTAATTATCTATTTTATACATATTAGTGTGTATATGTCAATCCCAATCTCCCAGTTCATCCCACCCCCCCCCTTTCCCCCCTTGGTGTCCATACGTTTGTTCTCTACACCTGTGTCTCTATTTCTGCCTTGCAAACTGGTTCATCTGTACCATTTTTCTAGATTCCACGTATATGCGTTAATATATGATATTTGTTTTTCTCTTTCTGACTTACTTCACTCTGTATGACAGTCTCTAGGTCCATCCATGTCTCTACAAATGACCCAATTTCGTTCCTTTTTATGGCTGAGTAATATTCCATTGTATATATGTACCACATCTTCTAAAAGGCCATTTAAAATGAGCAAATTCTTTTAAAATCCATATAACTTCAATTTTCACTGGCTTCCACAGTGTGGTCATACTTACCTTGTGTGTTTCCAGAAGCCTCATCATGATACCTTGAACAAATATTGGGGTCTTTGGGTTTCATGATTATTTTATAATTGCCATAATGAGATAAAATATGTGCTAACAGTTGGTGTTACAAAGTTGTATACCACAATTTAAAACAAGTTATAGTATGATTTAAAAAATAGTGTCTGGGTCCAGGATGTTTATGCCATTGCAATGACTAAGATAAAATTCACCACTTAAGGTAATTGTAGGAACACAGTATGTTTAAATTGTTTGGAAATAGATATAGAACTGGAAAATGTTTGGTTCTGTGGCCATGTATGGATGTTTGTATACAAATATAAACTGACTTTTTATGGCATGATTGTCTAGAAATGTAAATACACAGTCTGCTTTATTAGTATTCTTTCTTTACTGTGTAAAGGACCTCTAAGTTTTGCATTTGTCCGGTAGTAGAATGTGTTGGAATGGAGGGGAAAGGGGCGCTTCCAGGATGCACCTAAGAGTTTGTGATTCTAAAATGGCTAAAACAGCCTCTGATGCTCTGCTGATGCTGCCTGTATGAATTGCCCTTCGTGCTGGGAATTTTATACCAAATGGTGACAGAAGTGGGCAGTTAATGCCCGCTCTCTCTTCCAGTGCAGGAAAACGGTTTGAAGCTGTGTGTTATCAGTTGTTTTCAATGCATGGTTTGTTTCTTTTTGAAGCAACAGAGCACAGCAGAAAGGGTACCCCCTTGGAAAGGGAAACTAGTTAAACTTATTTTTGCCTCACTTGGAACTTGGGGATCATAATATCACAACTTCACAGGGTAAATGAGATCAAATGAGGAGAAAATGTACCCAGAAAAGATTTGCAATGTGTAAAATGTTCTGCAAATGAAAAAGCTATTACTGTTATAATTATCATCATCATCATTATTATTATTTCTAATAGAAGCCCGGAAGGGATTCTTCTTGTCTAATTACCCAGCCAGAGCTCAAATCATCTCAACAAAGTTCTGCATAAGCGACAAGGAGCACATTAAATCCCAAGGCGGTTAATTCCCAATATTTTTATGTGGTGGAGGATGTGAGCATATTTATTTATGCTTATTTATGCATATTTAAGACATATTTATCAGGAACTCCACAATTAGAGGAAGAAATGATGTAGGAAATATATAGGTCGATGTTCCACGAGATTGCAAAGGGGTTAAGATGTGAAACAATCATCAGGGGGACTTGGAACAGAATGAGAAGGGGCAGATGTGGGGAGGGAAGGGGCCTGATGGGTGGGGACAGGAGGTAGCCTGGAGAAAGGCTTAGAACGTCTCCAGTCTGGGCCCGGCAGCTGCCTGGACTGAACCTCTGCTCACCTGACCCAGAAAGGGCCCAGATCTCTTCAGAGCTCTTCAGAGCGGGGACCATTCTTGCATGTTCTCTTCTGATCCCTGTTTGCCTCTCTCTGCCAGTCTCATAAAATCTAGTCCTTCCAGGCTCACTGTCAGGGGTCAGGTGAAGGCTTCGTGGGCCTGCAGGGCGTCTACAGTAACATCTTTTCAGTTGCTGCCCGGAGCGCACTACGAAGAGGAAGGGCCTTTGATTCCCCACGAAGAGATATAGGCTTAAAAGGCAAAGACCGGACTGTGGTAACCGATGCGCGTGGGCCCAGCCCAGGTCACTCAAGACAGCAGGATGTGGAAGGGAGGGTCGGAGGCAGAAGACCACTCTCCCTGCTTCACGACTGTGCCACGGAGGGGGACAGTGGGAGCCGTGCAGAGACCAGCTGCCAGCTCTCTGGAAACACAGGCAGCTCTGTATCCCATAGTGAGGTAACTGCTATTTAACGGGGCCGACTTCTCATGAAGGAGCCTTGTCCTGGGTCAGAGCGGCTTGTGCGGTTGCCAGTGGGTCGTCCGCTGTACTCTGAGCTGCTGTCAGGTGAAGTGGGCGTGTGTGGTCCTGGCGGGTTCATCGCAGTGGCGCTAAGTCATCTAGGGATGGCCTGAAGGCCATCTGATTCTAGCAGAGTCCACAGTTCTGGGCAAGTCACCTCACTTCTGTGGAATATAGGGACTGAGTTGGAAGGATGCTTCCCAGCTCCAGATTCTGCACTGCTTTATCGGACCGCTCTGTCCATGTCAGATGCAGCCATCTTAACAAACACGGAGCTAAGCCTGGAAGCAGTAATGAATAATCTATTTAATATGTCTTGAAATTAGGTCAAGGGAGCAGCCTGTTAAGGACTTTGGAATGTTATATCAAAGCTGAGGGCTGAATGCTTTAGCCAAGAAAGAGAAAGAGTTTTCTTCTTTCCTTGGTTGTTTCTTGTTCTCAGAGGAAAGCAGTCGTGTTGGGAGAATGGAATGTTTATCCTCGCCCTCCTTCACATGGCCTCCTGCCAGAGTGATTGGCCCTCGCTGCAGATTTTTTTTTTTTTTTTTTGGCTGCATTGGGTCTTCATTGCTGCGCATGGGCTTTCTCTAGTTGCGGCGAGCGGGGGCTACTCTTCGTTGCGGTGCGCGGGCTTCTCATTGCGGTGGCTTCTCTTATCGCGGAGCACGGGCTCTAGGCGCGTGGGCTTCAGTAGTTGCAGCACACGGGCTCAGTAGTTGTGGCTCGCAGGCTTAGTTGCTCCGCGGCATGTGGAGTCTTCCTGGACCAGGGCTCGAACCCGTGTCCCCTGCACTGGCAGGCGGATCCCTGACCACTGCGCCACCAGGGAAGCCCCTTGCTGCAGATTTTTAATCTAGGTGAAATGCAGATTTCAACCTATCTGTGATGACTTCCATGGAGGTCTATAAGAAGTGGTCCGGAAAAAGTGTCAGGGACCCCCAGGTGGAACGCGTTTAAAGAATTTTCTAATTACTTGTTATGGTTACAACCGACCATGTCAGCTCTTCACTTCGTGATTGACTTTTCTCTTTCTAAACTGATGTATGAAGCCCCAGAGGAAAATGAACTGCACGATATTGTGCTGAACTATACTTACGTCCAAGGTGAGAGGCTTTGGTATGACACTTGGCTTGGTCAGGAGCTGGGACCCTGGGAGGGGCTG